GTTAAAGTAAAATATCTATCTCTGTCTTTCGCATTTTCGGTATTCAACGTCGGCATTGGACATATTACATTTCTACTGTATCTTTTCCTCTATATAATGTTACTGTAAAAATATTTCCACGCTATACTCGCTGCCCTCGAGAATTTTCGCTTTCAACTTCGTTAGAGCTCAGCTAGAACGATAAAAAAATATCGACAATTATTCCCCTTAAATTTTTACAAACTTACACAAATACCCGACTAAGACATTTTACGAGTTAGGAATATTTTTAGCCGAAATATATAATGAAGAAATTATTAGCTCGAAAAGTAAAAAAAACACGCGGCAATTGATTAATCGACCGTCAAGGCCGCTGACAATCAACCACCGATAATTTAACCTTACAATAACCATGTTATCTTTATGCAACAAATGGATCCGAAATCCAACACACCTTCACAAATCATCAACACGCGTAATAGAGTATTTTGGACGAGTGCACACGATTCTCTATCGAATAAAGAAGACATTTTACTCCGAAAAGTTATAATCCCTGCTTCACCCCCACCCACTGCCCATAATTCCACCCGATGGTAAGACTCAACCTAAAAGCCCCTGGCAATCCGTGTCATAACTGTTAGTCGTCCGAGTTGACGAGGAGCTTAGATCCTCACCCGCCTCCCACCAGCCTCGATCTCACGTCGCACCTTTGCTTCCGTGTTCTCAGGGATCCGATGGAGCTAATGGAGCAGCAACTTGTGCGCTGCGGTGTACCGCCTGTGCGCCTATACGAGCACCTCGCCCTGAGCTCGCCCTCGGCTCTTCAGCAGCAACAACAGCATCATCAGCAACATCAGCAGCACCATCACCAACAACAACAGCAACAGCAGCAGCAGCAGCAGCAGCAGCAACAGTCCTGGCTGGCGCCGTCGGCCGCTCTTCTGTACGCTGCCGCGGCGCGGGGTGCGACGGCCGCCCCTCCGGCACCGGGCGCCGGTAGCCCCTTCTCCGGCAGCTACCCCTACCCGGGGGCTGCGGCGTGGCCGTGGCAACCGGCTCCCGTCGCGATCATCGGCTCGCCCCGGCGGGCCTCGCCGCCGAGCGTCCCCGGGCTCAGGTTCGCGCCCTACCCGAGCCCCCGGGGCTCCGCGTCCCCGGTTGCCGCCGCTCTGAGGTCCGCCACCCCCAATTAGCGGAACGCCCACTAGGTGGGGCGGGAGCTTTTTTCATCCCGCGCGCGTTCGCCGCACGGTCGACGAGCTTTTTCCGCCTCGCCCACCGGATGGATGGACTGGTGGTCGTGCATGGGGTGGGACATCGATCGCTCGACCTCCAATCGAGCCTTGCGCTTCTGCACGCGCCCGGCAGTCCCTCGGACTCCTTCGCGTCCGACGTCTTCGGACGCGTAGTGGCAAAGCCGTCACTCGGGGTGCCAGCTCGACCGAATTAGCAAAATTTGAAATTCCAGTTCATCTATTCACGCGATCCACGTTCACTTTCGGTTATTCATTAATGTCAATGATGTAGCAAGCGACTCCTTTATAACAATAATATGGAAGTTTGGAAATTTATGTATTGTATGATATGTATAGTTGCGAATTAGAGTTGATATTTATCGTAGCCACGAAGACCCTTGGAGTCTGAGGCTCTTTCCTCGTCATTGTACTTACTGTATATCCTCCTTCCTTACTTTTCTGCACTTGTATTCTTCTACTCTTCTTCTTCTTCTTCTTCTTTGTTTTTTTTTTTCCCACTATTTACCTCCCAAGGGGATGACAATGTTATTCGAACCTAGGATATTATACGTTAATGTGGAAATGAGGCTACGAGAAAGTTACGCATGGTAATATTGTTTTATGTTTTATGTTTTGCAATGTTAAACGAGCTGGTGTTACGCATGTTAGAAGGACGTTGATTAATTGTCGGGGCAAACCGTTTGGATGGGAGCGAGACTGTAATATAGTGTAATGCGCAATATGGGAGGCGAAAACACCTTCATTTGAAAGTTAATAACGGCGGCTAAACGTGCGTCTTTTGCATGTAATGAGCGAAATGTCTAAATGAGGGGAATGTCCTGGACGTCTTCCTTTAAATACAACGAATATTTCAAAGTACGCGATATCATCGACTGGTTAAGAAACTCGCACGTTAATATTGTCATTCGAAGCTGACGTCGCACGGACGATCTGCGCTAGATACCCCACACGGAGCCAAAGAAAATAAAGTACCGCCATCTCTCGTCCCCGTGGTGTCAATCTATAAGTAGCGAAAAGGACAGTGTAAGAAAGAGGCGTGAAGATGCTGATGGAAGAAACGGGAGGATCCAGACGTAAGAAACGTACGTGTTTATGGACACGTCCAGTATTTATAAAATGGTTGAATGTTAATCGGGAGCCAAATTGTTACGTTCGGTGGTGAAGTGGCGGGTTTGGCGGGGAAAGGGGAGAAGATTCGAGTATGTACCACTCGAGCCTCGATGACTCGAAAGTCAAAGTGCGATGGCTGCACGGCCATGTATTTCGAGAAGAAGGCGCGCGCCGAACGTCACGCATACGCCAATCAAGATCGGCACACAGAATTCAATTAATGTTGCACGGAGAATAGAGTTCGAAGAAGGAATCTCATTGTACCGCTTTGGCATCATATTGCATTAATAAATGTTTACCACAAACACGCGAGGTCCTTTCCTATTTTAGTTAGATGTTAATAAGGTGGATGTCAACAAATTGTTCAGCAAATCCTCGTAAGCTGTCATGTGTGACATAGTGGTGCACGACCAACCAAGTCTTATGTGGTATGTTTATAGTCTTAATAATTGTTCCAGTTGGTCTGCCCTTTATAAGCTAAGCTTGTCATGTACCAGGAAACGCGGATACAATTTAATTCCTTCCAGGTGATTAAAAAAGCAGCGAAAGCTTCGTCATTATTTGATACCCATACGAGTATGTTACCTGCCACTCTCGTATCACCAAGTGGTCGGTAATTCGATAACCAATAATCGTACGATCATTCGACGTTCGTCAGATTCATCTGGATTCGAGACATGTTTGGTTGTCCTTGCTCGTACGCTGACACGGTTAACCGAATACGACGACGAATACGACGAATTTGACGGATACGACCGCTCCCGTCATGACGATGGGCAAACGGTTAGGCGTTCGCTGGTGAAGATAATTTGCTTAATGTTGAACCGATGGAGTCTCGCGACGTCGATTACGCCGTTTCACCTCGGATTTGTATTACTGCGGCAGTAACTTTGAATTTTGTCTCGAACCCTATTCTTCATCTCTGTTTTTATTATATTTTCATTGTAAATAGCCAAGAAAAATTATTTTAGTCGTGGATATTGGCGATCAATTGTTATATATTAATGTGTTTGTGAGCATATAGCGAATTTTGGTATGTACGAGCGAGAAATAATGTATGATCGTGTAATACACATACGCGTTGTTAATGTTCTTAGTGCATAATTTCTGAGTGATGATAGAGAGAGAGAGAGAGAGAGAGAGAGAGAGAGAGTTGAGATAGTATTTTGTGAGAGAGAAGAGAGAGAGAGAGAGAGAGAGAGAGAGAGAGAGAGAGAGAGAGAGAGACGGGGGTGGGGATGATGAAGCGAAGAGTTGTGATAGCTGTACCATACCGTAATAGTATTATTCCAGCTTCTCTTTGGAGACGCTGCGAAATTTGTATATAAAACTAAAATAAATAATATCATCGTAAAGTCGTGTAGATTTAAAAAATAAATTACTCTGCGTATAGCACCAGGAGAAAATAAATGGATTTTCAACAATTAAATTGGCATGTTTTTTTATCTTACACTCCCACTTTATTATTAAAAGAAATTAGTTCTAGCGTATACAGGAAAAATATGAGTAGTAAAATTAGTAGATTATCAAAGTTAAAACAACGATTATGTTTATCGATAAGTTTTTAAAGATTTTTCATATTATTAAGTGTACCGAAGCGTTTTATTTAACTGCAAAAATAATAATTTAATTGAATTTCGATCGAGCTACATGCTTTATTATTATTAGCTAATATAAAAGTCACATAAATATCCTTTAAAGTAATACCAAATATTTATATGCACGTGAAGGACTTCGATAATGGTAGGATAATCAACTATGCAGAACATTTTGTCATCAATTGTCGCTTTATAGGAAGTGGATAATGTTGATAATGTAGCCCTGCCATACTGCATAGAATATAATTATGTCATTTATATTTAGAAGTATATGTGACTTTTAATGATAATGTAATTTGTAATTTTTACCCATGAAGAATTAATAAACAAATTTATAATTACATCGATATCATTTACTCAAAACTTTACATCATATATAGTAACACTCAAACATTCGTGATAATACAAATTTATAAATAGAAAATATTATTCATAATTTAAAATTAAATCCTATTATACATTATTAATTATTATACATAATCAATAATTATAAATTAATAATTATTTATAATTTTTATTATAATTTATAATAAATAATTAATAATTATAAATTAAGAAATTAACCATCAATCACTACCATAAATTTTGTGTAACCATGGCGAAGGCGAATTTTATTAAACTTGCAATAATTTTAATATAAATATTTCAATTATATTCTTTCATGCATATAATAAGGATAATAATTTTTTTCAATGATAAAAGAACTATCTTAGATTAGACGAAGAGAGACTGATGATGTTTGCAATGGTCTCCTCATTTGAAATTTCACGAATATTTATAATTTTCACTTATAATTGTAACATAAACTTCAATAATTTAACAGAATTCAAGTAAATTGCAAATTTCATTTTTCCAATGTAAATAACGATAGATGTGAAAATATCGTGGGCAATTGTAAATTGTTATTGTTGTATCTAACGAATTTGTCACAAAATGTTTACAATACAATTTTCATAAATAAAGACATAAGAATTTTTTCACTCGTGACGTTTTTCAATCATCGGAAGATGATGGGAATTAATTTTGTCAATCGTTTAAGCCCATTCAGTTAGAAGAAAAAAGGAAACTAATAATCGAACGATACTCGAATTACAAAAGAGAAATAAAAATTATTGATGAAAAAAGCTGAAAATTGTCATATCAGCCACAAGTGTCTTTGCTCTTGCGCTTTTGAAAAATTACATTCGCACACGACCGCGAAATAATAACCATCAGTTTTCATTTTTTATCCATTTTTAACAGCGGCTCGGAAATTCCATTTACAATGCATATTTATTACTATAACGAGCAACTCTTTAAAGGTTCCTATAATTCCCAAGTGAAAAGCCATAAGGGACCAAGTCGAGGCCTCATTAACTTCATTCATCTTAGTTAAGGACCAACTAATCTTTCAGCCGGAGGTTATTGCAAACAATTTAGCCAAGGTACGAAAATACCTTTTTATTTTAAGTTTCTCGATTACGGTGAAACCATTATGCGGTCGTTACATCATCAGGGACTTGGAGCGGTAGCTTACTCGAGGAGAATCGACGCCGCTCAGGGCAAAAAGTGCCTGGCGATGTAACGAACCTAAGACAACGACAATCGACGGCAGTACACGAGCGCAAAATAAGCACTAGGATTAATAGGAAGGCGTCCGGGTCGCGATGAAGGGGTTGAGCCGTGGCGGTGGTGCGGGGCCGTCGATGGGGCGGGGCCGTCGATGGGATGGGATGGGAGGGGGGGGGGGGGGGGGGGGGGGGGGGGGGGGGGGGGGGGGGGGGGGGGGGGTGGATGGGTTCAGGGAGCGTTGTAGGAAAACAATAAAGAGAACGAAAGTAAGTACAAACGGAAGAACGAAATGGACCGTGACAAATCTCTTTAATTACTAAGAAGTCGCGGGCATGTGGGCCGTCTCTCCTTATTCATCCAACCTCTCGTACGAGCATCGCATCTTTAAGGGCCCAACTGCCGTGTAATTCTGTTATACCTATCTGAAATTAAATAAATTCATTTCACACCTTGTCAGCGCGCAATTATTTTCAGATGCGGCCATTTTAAAAGCGCCGCTCCCAGCATGACTAACCTCGGCCTTCCTTATGTCCCGGTTGGCATCCCGAGCGCGGGGGCCCCCGAGGTGCCGAAATACGGCCTTCGCCAGGAGCAGCAGCGGCTGTGAAATAGACGGACCCGTTCATCGCCTGCGAGCGAAATTGAACGATCGGCCCCCGCCAGCCCCGCCACCGCCGTCGCTGCTGCCACCGACACCCCTCGTCGGCCCTCCCGGATATTGCCGACCGCGGCGGTACACCTACCGCAGATCAAACGGACCGTCCATGCGCTCCATTTTTGGGCGGAGGCCGCGTTTATTCGCCGACGGGTCATTAGCGACGTATCTCAGCCCAGCCACGGTATCTCGACCGCGACCACGGATCCGA